AACGCATTATACTGTTGTAATCATGAAAGGCAGCAGGCAAAATTTCAAATTTGAACTCTTAGGGCCTTTTTTCATGAAGGTGGGGGACCCCAGGAAGGTGAGGTAACCCGCCTGTCCATATAATCTGTCATTTTAATTTGATTAACAATAGAAAGCAACAGGACTAAAAGTTGCAGCAAGAGCAGCAAGTGAGAGCAGAGAAGCCAAAACGCGTGGTTTGCCAACATTTTTCTTGTTCACGTGTTAAACGGGTAGTACGATTGCATGTAGAGGCGGGTTCTTTTCTAACCCCACCTAAGCGGGTTACCCCACCTACCTCGGGTCCCCCACCTCCTTGTACTGTCAAACGCAGAAAAAAATGAACGCCTGGAAAGTTTCGCGGGCGCCCGGTACTTTGAGGGAAAAAGAAAACAAGCTTAGCAACTCGACAAATAGTGTTTAACACAATCTAAGAATCAGTGGTCATCCAAACGAGAAACGACGGTCAAAGCTGTTGGCTCATTGTCAAAGTGGAAAAATAGAACTGTATCTTTGCGTAAACTAATTAGATTATTTAAGCGCACACTTTGTTCATTTGTCTATTCGATATTTTTAAAGTTATCATAACTATAGCAAAATTCTCAAATCTGATTGGCAATCAACTGCCATGCTTTCAGCACTAACAGGACAGTACGCGCGCACTTAAATGGCCTTTTTTTCACTGCTTGGAATTTCTTGTGTTTTGAGTTAAAAATAGAGCCTTGTATTATCACAAATTTTGTTAAAGTTAAGATTAATGGGTAGGAGAACTTCATGTAGTCTAATTCGGTCTGTAATCATACTAAAAAATTATTGGATGAGGTTTTTGTGATAATCAAGGTCGAGGTAAAAATCATACACCGCGGTCATACATGACATGATTACCCGTGACGTCGAGTTTAGATGACGTCCCAAGCGCTGCTTTCGAAATCTCACTGCACGCTTTCGGCCAATGACAAATGAGATAGTGAGTTAAATGTACAATAACAGACCAAATTGGACTCCACTCGGTCCTCTTCCTATTACAAATTAAACACTTAAGAAATCGGAAATTAAAAACTGCATCATTCTTGGCCATTAATTGGCAATTAATTTATTCAGCTTCAATTCTTAATGTTCCCGAAGATATCGCAAGCACAGTGAAAACAAAGTTTTTTAGTTTCTTATGGAAAAACAAAAGGGATAAAATTAAACGAACTGGGCTCTATCAGGATCTGGGAAGAGGCGGAATATGTATGGTAGACATCGACATAATGTTTAAAGCTCTAAAACTAGCCTGGATTCCAAGATTACTGACTCCAGGGAACCAGAATTGGAAAACAGTTCCTGATTATTACCTAAGAAAATTCGGAGGTTTGAACTTTTTACTGAGATGTAACTACCATGCGAAATACATAAAATCTATTCCATTGTTTTACCGAAATATTCTAGTATACTTCAGTGAATTAAAAACTCTGTACAGCTTTGATCAAGCACAAAATATAATTCTATTCAACAACAAAGAAATACTTGTTGACAGTAAAACCTTTTTTATCAGGGAATGGTTTAAAAAAGATATCCTGTCAATACAAGATCTCTTACACAATACCGGTCAACCGATGACCTATCAGGAATTTACGAATAAGTATTCCTGTAAAACTAACTTCCTTCAATACTATCAAGTTATTAGCGCTATCCCAAAGCACCTATTAGCTAAAGCAAAATCAACGAAGCCAATTAATAAAGAGTTATATTCTGATAATAATCTTAGTCTACAATTAAATGAATAGATAACTCTATATCTGAACAAAATCAAGACTAGCGACTTCTATACGTTATTATGCACAAAAATCCACACAACAGGTCATTCTGGGCCACAGAGATGGAGAAAAGATCTTTCCTTGGATGAAGATAAATGGGAAAAAATATTCACCTCCCTAAAAACCGTCTGTAGAGAGACCAAATTAAAGGAATTTCAATATAAATTAATCCACCGAATTGTAGTCACCAAAAGGAACTTTACCGCTATGGAATCAAGGAAGATGATGAATGTATATATTGTGGTGAAAAAGACTCTATTAATCATACTTTTAGAGATTGTCATTTCGTCAAGATTTTCATTCAACGGGTTATCAACTGGTTCAATATAGAAAACAAGATCAATCTCAACCCATCTAGCGAAGAAAGACTGTTCGGCATCCTCTCGGACTTACATGAAAAGGTACTAGTAAGGAAATTCAATTATACCATGTTGTTTATGAGATACTACATCTACGCCAACAAACTACACAACAAACCAATTCTCCTCCAAGACTTCGTTGGTAAAATGATAATTAAATACAGAATTGAAAAGCTATAAAATAGACATGAAAAGTAACTCCTCTGACCTTTTTTTTTTTTTTTTTTTTTTTTTTTTTTTGTGTGTGTGTTTATGTGGGGGTGTGTGTGTGTGTGATGTACTAGAATTGTAAGTAGTGTAACCATTGTAATTATTAGTAGTACGAGCATCGTATGGATGGTATTGTCAGTATAGCCAATATTGTAAATAGTGCAAGTATAGTGAATATTGTTAGTAGTATTTAGTTTCAGTAGTGTTTAGTACTGTAAACATTTAATATATGTCTGTAAGGCAAAAATAAATTAAAAAAAAAAAAATCATTCTTGGCCATCATTGCCCACTTCATTCTTTGACTTCTTCCTCCTTTTGCGCTTCTTCTTTATTTTTTCGTTGTTTTCCCCTATGAAAAATAAAAAATTTAATCTTACATCGCACGGGTTGTTTCCAAACCAGCTTTCTGGTTTGGGAAATTCAAGCGGAGTGCTTAACGGCTCTTTTGCGTGTTCTTGCCTTATTCTCAAGTCATTTGCGCTTGTACGTTTGATAAATATAATGATGACTGTCCTATGAAAGGGGTTATAGGTCACTACCGCTAAAAAAATTGCTGTAATTTAATAATCTAAAGTACCAGTAGAGTGAAAGAAGGAAACCCTAGGCACGAAGTACAGAAACTGATTTTTTTTTTTTTTTTTTTGGATAAATCGCTCATTTCATGTCCTAAGCATTTATACTGTGATCATCAACAACCGGCTACAACGTAAACAAAAACAATATTCTAACGAATGTGCTATTTTTTTGCACGGAAGAGAAAGAAAAAAAATCTAGCAACAAATTCCCAGTAACATTTACAGTACCTTTTTCTGTGACACCACCTTCCTCTTTTCGCCTCTTTGCCTCAGGTGGACCTTAGTGTTTAATACCAAAAAAACTACATATTCAGTTTCTTGTAAAGAACGTTGTTATGGTGAGGAAAATGGTTTGACTTGTTTTGTTGTACTGTGGGAATGACAGCTACAGAAAGTTGAATTAACTTAATTCCATACCTACACCTCCCATGGCATCATCATCCTTTATTTCATCTACAAAGTCAGTTAAATAGTCAATATAAGAAAAAGTTTAAAGAAAATCAAGTAACCTGAATTTTTAATATAGACGTAACATAATGATAAAGAAATTTAATGTGCATGAGTAGACTGTTCAAATTAAATCGCTCATTGACTTTTATGAATCTTCATCTTTTGACAACCTGTTTATTATTATTGATCCAGGATTGCTTTAAACTAATGAGAGATGATTTTTTTTTCGCAAGCTCTGAGCTGGATCACTAAGAACTTTGTAACTTTGTAATTTATCACGGAGTCTGTTCGAGTCATTTTATGCATGGGACTTGAAGAATTCATTAATTTCCACGTCACCACTTCATATCACGTATACAAACGTTATCTTTGGAATTCTTACCGGGTAAGGTTGAGGACAAATCCTCAGTGCCCTTTGGCAATGATCCTCTTAAGGAAACCTGTGCAAAACAAGGACGCAAGATCAGCCCACTGTACACACTGCGTAATTCTATGTGATGTTTCTTAATCTAAACATAAATTGGACTAATACTAGAAGGCTTTCTAATATATCATGATACTGTTGTAATCATGAAAAGCAAGGTGCTAAATTTCAAATTTGCTATTACTATTACATTACTATAACTATTATTACTAATTTAAATATTACATTTTTTGTCCAAAGGAACAGTCAATGGGCATAGGGGAAGATAATTCAGAGACTTTTCTGAGTACAGTGGTGCTATATTCCATAGGCCTTAGAGCAATAATAATTACCTCAGAATCAAGGAATGAAAGCATTTCTTCCTCTTCCTGTACAAGATAATAATCACACCACTTACAGTTAAGACATGGACTGTTCTTTTGGATGTTACATAATTTTTGTGTAAGGGTTAGAAACCTGAAATATATCTTTCTGTAGGAACCAGGTGATCATTTAATGATACTTTACTTGGATTAAATTATTACTGTTCTCTTGCTACCCTCTAGCATTTAATGTCACCTGCATCTTCACTTTCTGATGGTGCTTATGTCCTCCATTGAGGCAAAAAACAATAATAATAAGAATAATATTTTCATGTGTAGATATGTGTACTGAACACTGTCCATGTACTGTAGATGGTATAGATACACTGGGTGGGATTTTTTAAGCCTTACGGGCCTATTAATCTATTAGCCTGGATCTTCTATTTTAAAACAAGTCCATCTGTGAAACAGCACCAAAACCCTTATCCTTGGCCCACTACTGTGTACCAGGATTTGGGTATCTTTGAATAGGTGTGAGTAACTTTAAAAAAAACTATTGTCAATTTGCCATTCAGGTCAAAGAGAAATTTCCAACGCATTTCTGGTAAACAACTTTTTAAATAAATAAGGAGGAAGGATAAACAAATTATCAGCATTACACACCACGGTTTGATTACATTTGTGACGCAGGATATGCCTCTGTAATATCATTGCCTTGGGATATTAATTTTACGATATTTGTCTACGATTATTGTTACATGTATCTCAAGCAATACATACATAAGTGGGTAACTTGTTAAACGGGTTGAGTGTTGTCCAGCCTAGTTAACCTTCCCAGAAAAATTGGTTTGTAATTTCACTATTCATGATTGCCTCGATTCATTGTTTAATATTAATATACTCACTCGCTCCTGTACGTGGAGTAAACAGTGTCCTTCAACAGGATCCTCTAGCTTCTTCACCCCTCCCCCTCCATGCAGGGTAAAAAAGAGGGGCCGGCCATCCTGGTAGCCAACCCAGTCATAGACTGCCTATAAAAAAAAAAAGCAAAAAAGTATTTTAGTAATTTATCTCAATAGAAGGTTTTTTTTAAGGCCATTAAAAGAATCCATCTCTTTTAAGTTGAAATGACGGTCATACAACATACATGGCCGATTGATTTGTCAGGAGGCAGAGTAACATGTAACAGTACCTGTATTTTCTATATTTTAAAAGTTTGAATATTCCCAGAGATACATATGTACACTTCAAATTAGCAAGAGCTTGTACCTGGTAACATGATTCCTTCCTAATGTAGCGGCTAATGCGCTCACCATTTGCAAATTTGACAATTACATGCCAACCAGCTTTGTCTTCGTTCAACACTCTATTGCGCCTTGCCTCTCTTATAGCCCGCTGCAAAGGAAAAAAAAAAAGAGTATAATATTCTAATATTCTTGCGGTTTTGAGAGAGTTCCTACTCACAGAACATTTTTTTAAAGAGAGCAGATAGTTCTACAGGCAAGCTCACTGAAATAAAAATACCTAGCTAATTATTCTAAAAATTATTATTAGTCCGCACTTTTATTTGAAATACAGCTTTCCATGCCCATTCTAGATTCTTAAATGAAAAATTGAGTTCCTAGTTTTAAAAAGGAATCTACAAATATTATACTTACCTCTTTACTCATATCTTAATCTTCCATCTTAAAAAAAAACGAAAGAAAGAATCTCATGTTATTTATATGATCTAACCTGTTCCAGACGTTTAGATAGTGGGGAACAAGTTAGATTGTAAGCAACAAGTGCAAAAGAAACATGAGGGGAAACAAAAAGGAGGAGAGACTGGGATTTTTTTTCCCTCATCAATGTTTAGTCCATGCCCAACTTTGCCCACCCTTCCCACTACCTGAATGTCTGGGACAGGCTAAGGGGATCAAACAATGTTAATATTGTCAGGTTAATTTCTTACAAAAGAAAAGTGCTGGGTTCAAAACCCTGCATCTGGGACTCACACAGGCACTATTGTAGCTTTGTCAGTCCCAGCTGCTAGTTTATCCTTAAGAAGGAGCATTTTTCTGCACCAATTCCAAAATGATTGATTTTAAGCCTGTGATTGAAAATGATTTGAATTTTTCAACCTTTGTATATTGTATGCAAGATATTGCTTTACCTCACTAGTTCTAGTCTCATCATCTTCTTGCTGGAAATAAATAGAAAGTTGAAATATTACTACAATGTATAACATTTTTTTCATCAATTTTGAGGTCCTAAAGCTTCGCTTTCAAGATAACAACAGAGTTGAATTTTTTTTCCATTTTGGTTTGCAAATCTAAAGGATTTTTCTTTGAAGATAGTTACTAGATAGACAGCAGACAACAAGCCCAGTTTCTTTGTTTTAATTCAACAGTTATTGGTACGAACTAACTTTTCATTGATGGAATCAACTTCTGGTCAAGATAATATACATTGACTGTGGTCGACACAGTCATAAACTGAATTTGATAGTCTTATTGAATTAATGTCTCATTGTGATTAATGGAAATTCTCTAAAATTGCCTCAAAAATAGTGACTTACCTCACAAGTCTCCACTTTTTCCTTCTAAAAGTAATAAAAAGACAAGTAAGAGTGACCCTTTTTGTATTTTATTTGTTTTGTTTGTTTCTTTACATTTTTTGTTATTATCTCCTCAACAGCCCGTTCATGTGCATGTTCTATGCTGCAGTACTAGCTGCTATCTGCAATTACAGTCAAACCAGGTCAAGCGTTCCCGTCGCTAACAAACTAATGAATTCATTAATGAAAAAATGATTTCGTTTGTTGATTCAATAATCCATTCATAAAATGAATAATCCAACGGTCAAATTGTACCTCGATTCAATAATCAAATGTTGATTTGGTTTATGAACAAAATCTACCTGTTCTTTATTCCTGTCTGTTGTGTTCAATCGTATTTGCTTCCCTTCTCCTGCCGTTTACGATTGCGTTTTTCATTGCCTTTAATCAAAATAACAGCTAGAATAGACAGACCGCAAACGCAAAGAAACTGACAAAGGCCGAGGATCGAAATCCACCAATCACCGCACATACACTGACCTCAGTTTGACCGTCGTGTTTTCTAAGGGGTCAGGCCTAGGTCTGTTGCACTGATTATTGGCAGCAAACTGGCGTACATGTAACAGTTTGTTTGGGTTTGAACTTCAGCACTCGCCAGCACTCGACTCTCAGAAAAAAAAAAGGAAAAAACAAAATTCTGAGGTCAACTTGTGGAAAGTGTAATTTTTCAAAAAACAGTAATCGAATCAACATTCGATTATGGAATCGAGGCTAAATATGACTATTGGATTGTTTATTTTATGAATGGATTATTGAATCAACAAACGAAATCATTTTTCCGTGAATGAATTCATTAGTTCGTTAGCGACGGGAACGCTTGACCTGGTTTGACTGTAATTTGTGTTGGGGAGTATGAACTAATGTAGCATAGGCAAGCTATTTAATTTATTCAATGAAAATGGTTATTTGTAATTCCTTAATTCTTTGCACAACAAATGTTTACTCATGGCACTTCACACTGTGTTTGTCTGGGATGCCACAACAAGTAAAAAGAAATGATTCATCAATGTATAGTACTCTAGTTAAATGGTAGTGAAACCTCTACCAAAACTATTAGTTTCAGTGTTTGGCAGACATTTACCACACCATGCATAGTTATTAAATATTAAGCCTTTCAATAATTTTATCCACAGGGAATCCATAACAAGGGATAACACCCTCCGAAATCTGCTTAATTCTTCATATCCCACGAAAGCCGAATTCATTAATTGCTTTATTATTCATTCAAAATAATTCTTTGTTTGTAAACATAGCTAAAACATGGAAACCTACATCGATGTTCAGTTCATCTTCGATAGTGTACGTTTAGGTTTGTCCAGGTCCACAGTTATTCTCCAAAAAGCATATGTCGCCCTCCGAGTTGTCTTCTTGCTGTTTTTGCTATGTTTTATGCTATTATTTCGCCTGGTTCCAGCTGTAAATCTTACTCTTGAAAAGAGTTAAGAGTCCGCCATTTTTATATTCTCAACCAAAACAACTCAACCTCATCCCCAGGTGTTCATGGTAACGGTGCCTTAACCTGTAAGAATGCTGCAGTTTTCATGACATTTCCTCGTTGCACAAAAAAATTTTCAAAATATGGTCATCAGTAACTGGTTATGGTGAATTATGCATGTATTTTGAATGAATAATAATATCAGATAAGTGCAACAACGAGTACTCAAGGAAAAGAAATTTTGCTGTGACCCCATTCAAGTGGTGCATTGCAATCCAGGTGATGCTTCGCTTCCATGATTTTCTGACCAAAGATGGGTTTGTTTGTATTGTTGCATAATACTCTGGAATCTCCTCTTTTAGATAGTCAGAACGAGCGTTAGATATATTGTTTTGCCTTACAAACAAAATTATTTATCTGCCTGCTTGTTCCACGCTTCCTTCAAGTTCTTTAAATATGTGGGTCCCCACAAATATCTGAGATTATTTCATTCCATACATGCATGGATGTATTCCTCTTACTTATTAATTATATAGGTGATTCGTTAATCCAGATGTTTTTTCATGAGACTGACTTTATCTAGCGTGTTGACCCAAAAGTTTTGCACCTTTCTCGAGTAAACAGAAGTGAATCTAATACCGGGTCCGGATTGACTGTGTTACTTCCGTTGGATTCATTATTTTTCAATGTTTCTCAGAAGTGATAACGTCACAATCGAAACCAAATTCAGAAAGGGTGGTATGAATAGAATAATCAGTTTAAATTAATGTAGATTCCACTGTTTGGAGATACTGCACATGTTATCATGCATTGATAATACTAGAGCTAGGAATGAAAAGAAATGCAGAATCAAAGTAGGTTAAATACTGATTAATCTGAAATTGATTTTAACTGCAGCATATATAGTATCAAAATCTGCTGTCCTTGGGGTCGTATCGGTCTCATATTATAATGTGGCATGAAATACATGTAGTTTCAGAATAAAGAACAGTAGCTGTGATTGGCTGAAATCAGGAAAAGAATGTGGTTCAAATGTGAGCAACCATTTCTTGGGGAGGAGTGCCATACAAGATAGAAATGCTATGAGGGAGACTACATTTAAAAAGTGAAGATATAGGTAAAAAAAAGAGTCTACCAAGATGGGATTAAATTTAAATAAAGGGTCATGTATTACAAATAATGTAAATGTGATAACAGGTGAAGTACTTTCTTTCTTTTTACAGACTGAGAGACAAGAATTTTGTTATGGAGACAACATTAGGACAGTTGTTTTGAAGCAGCCATGCATAGGTGAGTGTTTCATGGAAGAAATCTCTTTATTATTACAGACTGTTATTATTTCTTTTTAACTGCTGATTAACCCATGAAGAGACCAATTCATTGTGTAAGGACATGCTATAGACTAAAGGGGAAAATGCAGTTTTATAGTACTGCCATTTCTCAAACAAAACAAATTTTAATATTAAAATCTATTTGGAAGAATTTGTTGGATGTGTTTGGACTGAAATTCTTGCATTTCCTGAAGAATGGTCAGTACGTAATCAATCTTTTTTCCTGCAAATAAAAAAAAATTCATAACATAAATTTGGCAAATAACAACAAAGGTGATAGAAGAAACTGAGAGAGAGCGAAAAGGTGCCCATTTAGGAGTTTTCATACCTATTGTTTGTTCTCTTTTATTGTAATAGCACCACTTACATGTACATGTACTACTCAAGCACCAACACCAGTAATAATATTACCAAAAATAATAACTTACACTGTATATGCCAGACAGCTCTGTTGCTCAATATTGAGCATTTTAGTCTGCTAACAATAATAAAATGTTATCATTCATTGTCAAAGTATTTAAGGATTAAAGATGACCCTACATATAAATTAAATGGGAAAATTAACATAAAATTGAAATTAATGTTCATGTTAAAGTTAAATTGGTGAAATTTAAACCATTTTTAGTCCTAAATTGCAAAAACGTAATGAGTAAAAGCTTATAATGTTGCGTAAATATTGCATACTAGTATTGCTAGCACTGTCATGGAAGTCCATTACATTTGTGGAAATGTATTTATAGACAGAAATATTAGTAATGTATGTCCTTAAACTGGTAAAGTAAGTACATTTTCCATGTACTTGCTTTTGCATGCTCTTACACATGTTACCCATATGATCTGTTCTCATCCATATCTTAATGAGCAAACTTGTGCACCGGTAATGTGTTGATGACACTTGAGCTATTTGTCAAGATACAGAGACAGACCAATGAGGTTACTTTCAAGATTCTCATAAAGATGTCAGAAAGAAACACAAAGACATCAACATCACTGGTAGCAGTAAAATGCATACATACTCTATGTAGTAGTAAAATATGTTGGCTGACAAGTCGGTGTCTTCTTTTTCGCAATATTATGGAAAACACAAGAGGAACAAGAGAAGGGAATTTTAATAAAGTTAACAGCAAAAAAAAAAAAAAATAATGAAATTATCTAGAGGAATACAACAGGGTGAAGAAACCTTGCGAATCAAGAAAAACAATCTTCTCTTGGTGAAGAAACCATGTGTATCAAGTGTGAAGAAAATGAGTTAACTAATCAGAAAACAGATGAAGTTATTACAGACATACAAACATGTCTAAGAAGAAAGCAAATAGATGAAAGGATATTAAATACAGGCTTATTGAAGTTCTCATAGAAAGAAAATTCCAGACACCAGAAGTCCAGTGACAGATATTTTATAGAAGAAAACTGAAGTGAAAGCCAAAGAGTGAACCATGTAGATAATGTAAAGACATGTGCTCTCAAAGGACTTTAATGCCTGAAGGAAAAAAAAGCAAATAGATGAAAGGATATTAAATACAGGCTTATTGAAGTTCTCATAGAAAGAAAATTCCAGACACCAGAAGTCCAGTGACAGATATTTTATAGAAGAAAACTGAAGTTAAAGCCAAAGAGTGAACCATGTAGAGAATGTAAAGACATGTGCTCTCAAAGGACTTTAATGCCTGAAGGAAGAAAAGTTCATGAAGACCTTTCACTTTTCTGATTTAAAATGAGTAGGCAAAGTCTTCCCTGCATAATTTATTATCTAATGTACTTTCAAATAAATTAAGCAGCTGATACAGCAGAACCTGAGTTTGAACTTAAGGGTTAATTACAACAAAATAAGTTTAAACGCCTAAACTGACTGTCTTTTTTCTGCTTGGTTACAT